ACAGAGAGAACGGTTATGAAACCCAAAAGAAAGGGAATGAATCAGGAGGCTACTGATGTAGCTTTGTGGAATAAGTATTGTTACAAGAAAACAATTCTATCATCTGTTCAGGGTTCCGAATCCTCGCTGTTCACATTATCTCAAGTAATTAGTTACTAAACATACAACCTTTGGAAGAACAGAAGTCTACAAGCTATAAAGAAAAACCGCAGAGCAGTCAGAATGGGTGTAGGTAGAGGGAAGCGTTATACATAGTCCATTATGTACATTAATACTTTACCACGGGTGTAAAGCCACAGGAGCATTGCATAAAACACACACGGTGTTTTAACCAAAAGAGATTACAGTCTATTGAAGAGAAAAAGTATGCAAGTCTCCCAAATACTAATTATTTCTTTAGCAAGTGTTTAGTCATCCCAGGCCTCCGTTCTGTAGTGGCAAAGACTGACCAGGAAGACAGAGAACAGGATTCTGGGCCCGGGTCATGTGGAGGAACTGTATCTGGAGCCGAAGGTGATGACCGTTCTTCGATAATGTTCTTTTCTGGCTGAAATTGAAGACAAAAAGGTCACTGATATAGTCCTGATACATAGGAGGAGGATTCACATCTCCTATTTTTTGATAATCAATAACATTAGGGATGCACCGATACTTGGCATTTTCATGAGAACTACCAGGGTTGCAGCGGTTGCAGCTGGGACCGGGCTCTGGTGCTCCACCACTGTCCTGAAATCATTAGTCTGTATTGTTTTAGAAAAACTGTCACATGACAAACATGTATCGGTACTTGTAAGTACTCGGCAAGTACCAGTAGTCGTATCTGTGATATATATATATATAATCAAAATCGTACATTAAAAACAGAGATGTACAAATCCCGGGAGCTCCGTGTGCTCCTTACAAATGACAGCTGCCTCCTAAACTTTACATTTTTCTCTAGTCTAGTCTTGGAGCTCAAAAGTATCGGTGCATGTACTCTTACTTGTACCGAGTACTGTACTTGGTATCTGTGCAACCCTAAATAACATGGTCATTTGCAACGTTGTCTAAGCTGACCGCATCAGTGAGGCAATTCACATACAACCGAGTACCCCTAAACAAGAAGGGGTTCCTGAGGAACTCCAAATTTGCAGAAAGCAGTAATGGGGCCAATTCAGAAACGTTCAGTAGAAAAGAAAGCCATTGTGTTTTAGGGGTTCAGATGCACCCCCCTTATCAGGGCTTATATAGGGTACAATGCATTGTATGGGATGACGACAGCCAGAGGGGCTGCAAAATGACCAGTTATAGACTGACAAGAAGAGATCAGTGGTCACTACCTTAAATAATGGTGAGAAAACCACCAAGGTCTTGGAGTAGGGATAAGTTTAAATGCCTAGAGTCGGGCTTTAGAGAGGACCTATTGATTTATGTAAATCTGAAGCCTATCTCTGGTGGAGCGGGGTTG